AGAAGTGGACCTTTTTTTGTTGGTTGGTCTCCACTTTTCTCGTGGGCGGAAGGAAGAAAAAGAGAGGCGGCTATATTTCCATTTTTGTTGTTTTTTCCTATATTTTCTGAATTTAATACTCTCTGTCCTATAAATTACTTGTTTATTTTTAAATTGACTTACTTATTAAGAAAATAATAATAAATATAGTGAGTTTATTATTTTATTTCTATTAATTATGAAGTAGATGAATTTAAAATTTTTAAGAAGTTCTATATTTTTCAAAGTAATTAGTTAAGGATATAATAGATAAAAAAAATTGATATTTCTTAATTATCAAATTTGATAAATGATTAGGAATTATTAAAAAAAAAATTGGACAAGTAATTAAGGACTACCGTACTTGTATTTAAATTCAAACTTCAAACTTGGATTTCCTATTTTTATTGACTTTTCAAATTTGGCCAATTTTTCATTGAATTTTTCAAAACTGCTAAGCACTTTCAGACCTTGATGATGTTACATGTCAAATAGTGACAGATATTTTCTAATATTTGTAGGTTTGTATATGATAAAAATATTACTCCGAAATATGATAGAATTATTCGATATATATGTAACAATGAGAAATAATAAATATTTGATAAAATAATTAGATATATTTATAAATTAGTTGGGATACTATAATCGTTAAAAAGGTGTGATTACTAACAAATTTTCTCACACATCTCGTGATAAAATATGAATGGTTTTTATTTTCTAAGATCCACATTTATTTATCATAATGATAAAATATGTCTATACCAACAAGGATTGTAGTGGAGTGGTAAGTATTCTTTTATCGTTAATCAAGAGGTTTCGAGTTCGAGTCCTCTGGCCCTGGGTACGGAATCACTTTTGTTAGGGAGCATTTTATCTCCCAATATGAGACTTTCAGGCGCGAATCCGGATGTGAGAAACCAAAAAATAATAATATAATATTATTGCCTAGCAATAAGACTTTTCTAATTTGTGATTTTACCTTTATTACCGTAGTAGTTAAAATTCAATTATTTTAAAATAATGATTTATTACTCATAATTTTACAGTAATTGTGAGAAAAGTTAGGTGAATGAATGATTCACCCAATGTAGAGCTATTATGTATGATTCACCCAATCTAAAGCTATTACATTGCACTATTTTGTACTTGTATATTAGATTTTTAGTTAAGATGTGAATATAAAATAAAATGATATACTTTTCTTTTTAGTCGTAGTAAAAAAGAAAGATTTTTTTTCTTTTTAAGTAATATTTTAATTTCAGATTTTCAATCGATAAGTTTAAGGTCATAAAATTAAAGTGCATTTTAATATATTTGACATAATTTTAATTTAGGACCATAAAATTAAAAAAATATATTTTTATTTTCTTAAATTTTATATCAATTTTTTTTTTTTTTTTAAGGATGTATTTATTTATGTCAGTATCTTATGCAGAGAAGTCATGTTAACTTTTTAGATCCCAAAAAAAGTAGTTTATTTTAGATGCAACGTGTCCAACTAGTCTTAAGACTCTGTCATTCACATTTATACTTTTCCACATTATATACATTTTAATTAATTATCATCATATATTATAACATGGCAGTATATTATTGGATTTTAGTACATGCTATAAAGGCTTTGTAGGTCCAATGAGTCATTCAAAGTAAAAAAAGGTTTCTCAATTTAAATTTGAAAATACATTACTCCTACTTAAGTTGGGCTGTTGACAATAGAATATAGAACCTACTTCAGTTTGAAGTTTTGATTTACATGTTTTATATAATTTTATCAAATGAGTAAATCATAATTTATTATTATAAGTAATGTATGGTAATATCTTAAGGCATAAATTATGTATATTCATAATCATTTTATAAATAAATATGTGATTATATATTATAAAATAATTAAAATACACATAATTTAATAAAGATTTACTGATCAAAATAAATCAATTATAGTAATAGCTAACTATTTTTCAATAAATTTTCCTACGTGATACAAATAATCTCTTCAAGTCACATATACTTTTTGCAAAATTTAAAATTATGATTATTTTTTAAAAAGTAAAATATTAATTTTAAGTCAAATACGTTCCAATTTGTGGGGATAATATTAATACCATTAGAAAAATGTTAGCTCACATGCATGCAAGGAGTATAGTAAAATAAAACTTCAAAAAAAGATACCTTAATCATTGTCTAATGTTTTTTAACTAAATAAAAACAAGACATTGACAACTGGTTCCAACGATAGAATTATTGTCTGTATTTTTAACCTGTATATATGTCATCAACACTTTTATATATGGACCACATTTTCAAATTAAAAGGAAAAAAAAACACTCAAAAAAGGTGTATTGATTTTCTTCAATAATTATTTTTCCAAAAATGCTGACTTTATGAGTTCCCAATGGCCAAATATTTTCTTCACCAAGACAGTGTTTGACAATCAAAATTAACTTATTTTGAGAAGTATTTTTAATTAAAAATATTTTTTGAAAAGTATTTTGCAAGAATAGCAGTTTGGTATGTTTTTTATTTTGAACAGTGCTTACAAAGAAAGAATTTGGTATTAATTAATTTAGTACGTATAATTTTTTTAATATGTAAATCTCTTTAGACTAATCGAAAACACTAATTTTTTGAAGAAAAAACACTATTTTCTTCCCACCCGATCCGAAATTCGAAGCCTACATTAGAGCTCCGATTAATTTTGGATTGCGTATTACATGGTCTATTTAGGGGTGGCGCTCCCAACATAATTTTCTCAATGCCCAGAGCTCATACCTCAAACCTCGGGTTAAGAGTGGAGCAATTCAACCACTGCACCGCAACCTCTGTCCATGGAAAAAAAACTAATTTGACTTCTGCATTATCCAAAAATACTTATTTCGAAAAGAAAAACACTCTATCAAATACCCTTCGGGGTGGCCCAGTGATTTGGGTTTGGGAGTTCCATGTTGAAGGTCTCAAGTTCGAAACCCCTTGCCAGCAAAAGCAAGAAATTTACCTTCTGGGTCGAGCTCATCACACCAGACTTGGATTTGCTTTGTCATAAAAAAAAAAAAAAAAAAAAAAACTCGATCAAATACCTTTATTCTTAAAATTAAAATTAGTAGTAGTACATTGAAAAAAATAAACATATTGGGTAATAAGGAGGTTTGGCATATTGGCATTGTCATTGTATAAGAATGAGGTTTGATGGGGTCTCTCCATCTAATTATTATGCGTATGGCAAGGACGAAAAGGAAACCTTACTCTTTTTTGAACAAGAAATTGCACCTATCACTACTCTTTCTTTCGTTATCTATCGTGATTTTTAAAAATAGTTATTTCAAATAAGAAATTTATGTTAAAATTAATTTTTCCATCCAATGTTACTTTTAATAGTAATAAGATAATTATACATATATATGACGAATAATTTGAGACAGAAAGAATACCTAACGGAATCCCTACTAAACTAGAAAATTGAAGGCAATTAAATGTTTTGTACATTTTCAATCTTAGTGTGACACATCAACACGATCTTAATTTTTACTTCATGTTTCATGTTTTTTATTTCTCTCTTTGTTCCTTTTTTTGAAAAAAAAAATCTTTGGTACGACGGAATTAAATCCGTTATTACAAGCCACGTGTCTTGAGATTTTGTCCACTTTCATAAATGAGGAGGTTAATTTAATTGTTGGAAGATTAATTTAAAATTGGAATAGGAAATTAAAATTATTTAGGATTTTAGTATTTTCTAATTTTTAAAATGAATGTCTAAAATCAAATTATATAGGGATATATTTTCCAGATTATAGTTAAAATTGATTATTATTATTTTACTTCTTTTATAAAATATGAAGAATTATGGAGAACCGTAGAGAACATTAAAACATTTATTTTTCTTCATTAAACAAAGGAAGATAAAAAAATTAATAAAGAATCTCGAATTTAAAGATGAATTTAATAGGCATGATACTAGGTAGACTCATGATTAGGGGTGTGCATTCGGTTTTTTGGTTTGGTTTTACACTATTCAGTTTGGATTTTTCGATTTTTGGTTTTGTAAAAGTGTAACCTAATTCAATCCAAAATAAATTTGGTTTTCCTCTATTCGGTTCAACTTTTTTCAGTTTGGTTATTCAGTTATGTCAATAATTAATAACATAAGCAAAATAATAATGTTGAATCTCTTAAATATACTTTCTAATATAAATCATAAGTAAAACTTAAAACACAATACTTATAAGTATACCTATTATAGATATTCAAATATAAAATATAAATGTAATCATGATGAAAGGCAATAACCAAAAAGGGACAAAAGTGGTTAACTCCAACTTAATTCTAAACCTAAGCATTTATATATATTATATATATATAATTCGGTTTTTTCGATTTTTAATTTTTTAAATCCGAAACCAAACCAAAAATCCAAACAAAGTAATTTATTAATCCAAAACCAATCCGAAAAACCAAAAAATCAATCCAAATAAAAATTCGGTTTGATTTGGTTTGGTTATTCAGTTTAATCCGAATAGTGCACACCCCTACTCATGATCATGTTATTTTAAGTCTTGCCATTTTTACTAATGTAATATTGAGTTGCCACACTCCTTATAATAATTTTATTATATCATTTAATTATTATAAATTTAATTTCTTGAAAAATAATTAATAAGGTTAAATTAGATATTACTTTTTTCATTTCATATTAGTTGTTCACGTTACTAAAATTATTTTTTTCAAATTATTTGTCAATTTACAAAATTAAGATAAAATTAATTAATTTTTTCTCACTTTACCCTTACCACCTTACAACTAATTCTTAAAAGTGTAAACAAGTTAGTAAAATTCCAAAAAAATATCTCAATTAAAACTACCATTCTTTTATTTATGACTTCTTAAGAAGCGCATAAAGAAAAAAGTGGACAAGTAATAAGGTAGGAAGAAAGTACGCAAATGATAAATTTTGTTTGAACTGTAGCAATACCCAGACTGAAAGTCCATATTTTTCCATCTGAAATATAAGTGATCCAACTCATCAAAATGTTGCAGGTAAATTTTTTACATTAATAACATGCCAATCTTTAAATTGTTTGATGAGAATAACCAAATGAACAAGCACAAGAACTGACACTACAAAAGATGGCTTCCTCATTTGCCTGTTTTACTCATTAGTACATGCAGCAACTTTTCCTCAAGCAACAGTTTGGACTGCTCTATCAAAACTTTCTTCAGCAGATGCAGCGCGCTTGACAAGTGTGTGCTCTGGGTTCGATAATTTCAACTGGCTGCAAACATCAAGTAACAAAAGCAGCCCATTAGTATTCCTTTCTAGCTACCAAGACAACAAATTGGTGTTGTCATGGTTAAACTGTCTTAATCTTCATATCACCATAAAAAGTTTTATGGACTGAAGATACTTCCAAAGTGGACAATTTTTCTATCCTTCTATAACCATTATGGAATCACAACTAGATTCATTCAATAAAAAGTTGAAACAAATGGTAAGTATACGGACTCATCGTACTTGAGATAACGTGCGGATGGTTTCCCAAGGTGAAGACTGCAGACAACCAGATTGGCCAGTGTTTCTGGATCTTTAGCGTCCTGCATAAATGAACAAGCTTGTAAGTGATAAAGGAATAGAGGGATACATTCTAAAATATCGTCATAAAAATGATGTGCACATAACGGGAAGGCATCAAAAACAACTGTAAATGCCATGATAATGCATTGTGAGAAAGACTTTCTAAATGAATGATTAGCAAAATTGTTCAGTGTAATCAACCGAATTTGGACATATGAAGGTTAATTGATTCTTTTATAAGTACTAGCTCAACTGATAAATAGAAGACAATTATCAAGTCAAAGTGACCTTGTTTAAGGCTTCAAGCAACAGTGTCTCAGCTTCGTCAAAGTTACCCATGTGCATGCAACATACAGCCTTCCCATTCAGGATTAAGCTAGTCATCTGATACTTCTCAGAGAAATCTTGGTAAATAAGATATGCTTCTTGTATTTTTGAACCACCCTGAAAATAGAATATATTTATAAATGTTCCCAAGAGTAATAGTTTTTTGTAAGGTAACCATATTTGAACTTGTTATGTACCACTGCCAAGTTTAACCATGCACTTGCAAGTTGAGTTAGTGTATGATCTTCTTCAACTTGCTGCATGATTCTCAACTGTTTCTCTGCATAATCTGATCTATGCATCTTAATGAGTATCTGGACATTCAAAGCATGCCTGCATAAGCACATTTAGTCAGGGAAATGAAAAATGATTTTTATACATAGATTCTAACCTCAAAGTAGATGGTTGAAAAATAAAAAGTATTCTTAACCTCAAATCCATTAAAGGCTAAAGCAGAAATTCATTAAAAAGTCAAGACTACAACCAGTCGCACAACTCAAAAATATGAGGGTACATCTAGAAACTAAACTAGCCAAGGTAAAGCAAGAAAGGAATGACAAAGTCAGTTTGAAAGGAAGCTTCTTAATCTAGCTTAAGCCTTGAGGCATAAATTTTGAATTCAACCAAGATTAGTTATGGAGATGTATCAGTCTACAATTTCCTTAGCCAGTACTCTCCATGATTCCTACACAAATTTCAAAATGATGGTGTTCCACTCTTCTTCTTTTTTGTGATTACTATGAAGTTCCATTAATAAGAATATCGTGATTGGTATAATCAATTAAGAAATAACAAAAAAGCGAAAGACAGTGTACAAAAGTGTGCAAACAGAAATAGATAACCAAACAAAAGATTTAGAAAGAGCCATGTCAGAATTGGAAGCTTTTGAAGGAGTGTTTGAAGTTGAACCACCAAAAAATATGCGATTTGATCAGCTGCCAGGAGATCTAGCATAAACTCATACTTGCACAGGACTGCATTAAGACTATTAGCACTTCTAAGGTTCTAGTTGTACTTTCCCCAGAAAAGAAGCTATGTTATTATATCCATTCTGTAATATTTTTTGGTAGACGACCATTATCACAATCACGTCTCACAAGGACATGCCTTTTTGTCCCAGAACAACCATTCATGCAGTTCCTGGAGCAGATTTTATAAATAGCATTTGCCAATAGTATAATTAGTACAATGCCAATAGTCATAGAAAACAAGGCAATCAGTCCATTAAAAAGAAAATTTCCTCAATGCATCTCTACACTATTTAGCATAGCACCATTAAAGCAATTATACAATCAAAGAAAAAATAGCAACTCACAGTTCCATTGTTCCACCAGCATTTGTGTGTTTCAGAGCTTCATTATAATCCTGCTCATGCATGAACACAATCCCAGCAATAAGCCTTAGTATAGGATTGCTTCCTATGGCTGGATCTCCTAATAATTCATGAAGACTGGCAATTGCTGCTTCCTAGAACATAACAAAGAAAGTTACAACTAATTACCCTCTTCTTGTCCATAATAAATAGGGAAGAAGAAGAACACTTCTTCAAAGAGCAAAAATGATGATTATAACAAAGCATCTTCCTAAAAATTTATAGTTACAAATAAATGATTCATTTTCTTTGATCAAGGACTATATAGGAAGGAGAACTCATCTCAACTCCTCTCCATGTTTTTATCAATAAACAGGAACCCGTAATGTAATGTCACTCAAACTGAATTTCCTAAAATTTCTATTCCAGCTGCAAATACTATAGATGAATGGATGTACTTGAGTTAACACCCCCCACCCCCACCCCCATCCACCCCAAAGGGATGGAAAGACTTGTTTTTTTTTCAAAATTGGTAACTTTGGAAGAAATCCTTTGTAATTGGGAGTTTATTTTCAATAAGATCTACCACATCAGATCAGGGCACCTTCAAAATTACAGATAACAAGACACGGTACCAACCAAATTCTCAAAAGGATCACTAGAGTAAAAAAGGGGAGATTTCGGAATCAAATTTTCACCTTATTATCAGGGCTGGCAAGGTACAAAGCGAGCAATTTGACAGCTTGAAGAGGAGTAGCAGCTGATGCATCGATCTCATTGATCACAAGCTGTAATGGCAAAACAAAGAAGAAACTAACTAGTAAACACAAAGAATAAACAATCAAAGAAGAATTCAAACAAAACCCAAATCATAAAAATACTCAAAAAGAAGAAAAAACCTGATAACTGGAAAGGGCAATGTAAGATCGGTAAACAAGAGTGTCTCTTTCAACGGCGTCATCCTGAGAGAGATTTGGTACATCACTGTTGTTAATTGCAGCTTGGTAAGCACCTATGTAGAAGTTGTTCCTCAATCCGAACAATGGGTCGGGTCCTGATCCTGCCATTTCTTCTTCTTCTTCGTTCAACACAAAGTCTTTTTTTTTCTTCTTCAATTTGTTGTTTCGATTCAGATCTCAGAAAAAACGTAACTTGAAGTGAAAATTGAGCAAAGAGTATTAAGAAATGAGTTAGGCGGGTCGTTGGTTATTAGGCCCGATAGCATTTTGGGCTTTTAACACACTTATCATTTTAGCCGAACCATAAATACTAATCAAACTCTATAGTTTGAAATAATTATATATTGTCTCACTAATTAATAAATTTATACTATATTTTAAATAAGATAAACCACTCTTTTATATTTCAAGACAGATAAATGTATCAAAGATACTAGATACATGTATCTCTTGATATCAGATGCATTCTGAGATACATATAAATGTATCAAAGATACTAGATATATGTATCCCTTGATATCAAATACATTTTGAGATACATATACACATGGAGAGAGACAAACAAGAGAGGGAACGAGACATATAGATAGGAGAGGGGCGATTGAGAGAGTCAATATGTATGTTTGCTATAAAATACGTTTTGAAATACATACATAGGGAGAACGAGAGAGATGAGTGAGAGAAGAGAGAGGCAAGCGAGAGAGATAGTGTATCGTAAATACATGTGAATCACTCTTGGACAATGTATTTGTAATAAATTAGACCTAATTTGACCTATATGTATCTGAGATACATGTATTTGAGTGCGCAAATACTTGTATTTGATGAAGTAAATGTGATACAAAAAGTAATTTCCAAACTAATAACCCATTTATATTAAAAGCATAATTATCCTTTTTATTCAATAACAAATTCTTAGTAGGCATTTGGCCATGCGATACCATATCATGATATGGTATCGTGAGATGGAATCAGCGTTTGGACATGCGATTTTACGTTAATTCCATCTCATGATTCCATATTCTCCAAAAACCATGATATGGAATTATATGTGAATTCCATATCATGATTTGAGATATTTTAATACAAAAATTGATCCACGAGTTTATATTTTGTTAAAACAACCCACATTTATATCTACTAACCATTTATTTCATATGTAAATAAAATTTACAATCACATTATTACTTTTTAAAATTTATTATTCTCACCGACATAAAATTTATTATTCTCACCAACATATAGTCTTATGTGCTTGTGATTTTGATATGCGATTTACCTTTGTTGTTGGTGGTTGGGAAGGTACTGCACATGATAGTAAAGTACTTGAGAATGCACTTGTTGAACCACGTCAAAATTTCCATTTCCGCCACATGGTAACTTTAAATTACATCCTTAGAATAAATATTATTTATTTACACAAAGTTGTCTCATTTACATCACATATGCTTTTAGTAATTCTTTATAAAATGTTTGTTGGTAGATAAATATTATGTCATTGATGTTGGTTTTCAAAACACAAGAGGATTTTTAGCTCCATACAAAGGACTACGCTATCATTTGCAAGATTACGGAGGAGGTGAAAGAGAGACTCAAAATGCCAAAGAACTATTTAATTATAGGCATTCATCTCTGTGCAAAGTGATTGAACGGACTTTTGGAGCTTGGAAAAATAGATTTAGAATACTGAAACAAGGCATGAACCATTATGATATTGATACACAAGTGAAAATTGCCATAACTTGTGTAGTGTTACATAATTATTTACGAGAATATCAAAGTACTGATGAAATATTTATGGTCTATAAGCATAAAAATATAGTTGTGGATGATATTGACCAACAAATGGCTCAAAGTAACAATGTTGGTTCGTCTTCTCGGTCACATGATCGAGAAATGCAAGTTCAAAGTGAGGAAATTGTCCGTACTATGTGGGAGAATTATATTAAAGACTAGTACACTACAATTTATGTTCATTTTTTTATTATTAAATTAAAGTTAGATGAAACAATTACTTAAGTAGAAAACAAATAACTTTGTAATAATTTATTATGCGATTTTATAAATTTTTGTTTATTTGATAAGATTAAATAAACAATTGAGGCTATTTTAATAGTTTTACAACTTATGAAATTTTTATTTTTATGAGAAAATATACAACACAAAAATTCCATATCGCATGTCCAACAAAACTTCAATTTCATCTCATGATTCCATATCATGATACCATATCATGTTTCCATATCGCATGGTCAAACGGGCCCTTAGTGAACTTACAACTTTTAAACAAGGTAATCAAAATAAAACCAATAAAAATAAATCTACATGTCATTGAACTCTTCGGATAGAAATTAATTAAAGTACTAATATATGACTTTTCATAAAATTTCAATACTTGCATCAAACTAATCTAAAAACTACATATATTTTATTTTAAAAAGTCCGACCAACATAACTTTCGATTAATATTGTTGATGAAGACGAATTGGGAGTCCATTTTCTGGTGTTGGCATCATATCACCAACAATCTTCTCATTAGGTACTAACAATTCCCACTTATATTTCATTACAACATTGTGAAGAAAAGTTAGAATTGCAAGACGAGCATACTCTTTACCAGGACACATTCTTGGACCACCACCAAATGGTACATATGTGTATGGAATTGGTCCATCACATTTCTCATATCTTGATGGATCAAACACTTGAGGGTCTTGAAAATATAATGGATTTTTGTTTGTGCTACTTGTTGTCCAATAAACCTACATGTCAAATACACATAAAATGTTCATTTTTGGAAACAATTCAGACATACGTGATTGAGATTGAAAAACGCATGAAGTGTTTGGTGTGGATTTCAAAGAAGGGTTGGTGTGTAATTTGGTTTCAAGGTTTTCAGATTAGTGGATTATTAACTAAACTTAATTAATTAACTTTTGATCAACCCACTAATTGGGTTGATAAGATTATTAAACTGGTAAATGAGCCATCAATTAAAGCCCCTTTGGCAATAATATACTCCCTCCAATTCACTTTTTTACTTGTTCACTATATCAAAAATGAATTTTTAATTTTTACTTGTCACTTTTAACATATTTAGAAAAATAATTCTTTTTAATGTTTTATCTTTACCATTAATTACTTATTTTTTAAATCATTTTTGAAGACTAAATATCAAACATCAATTAGGGGTAGTGTAGTAAAATAATCATGTCGATTATTGTTTGCTTAATGTGTGTGTTAAAACCAAATATAACAAGTAAAAGCGAATTCAAATTAATTAGTGGAAGTAGTTGGAAAATGGAAATTTTGTACTCTTAGATTCGTATGGTGTAAGTCCAAATTAATTAGGTCAGTAAATTCTGAATAATAGATGATTAAATAAATAAAAAAACGAAAAAAGTATATTGTATGAAAATAGATGAGATGGTCGAAATAAAATCAATAAAAATTACCTTCCAACCCTTGGGGATAGTGTAACCAGCATAGGTGAAGTCTGTCAACACTTCTCTAAAAGTTCCTTGAAGTGGTGGAGTTAGTCTCATTGTTTCACATATCACATTCCATGAATACTTCATTTTGTTCATGTCCTCCCACTCTAACAATTCTCCTTCCTTCTTCGCCGCAGCAATCTCCTTTTGCTCTGTATTTACAAGACTAGAACTTGATTCAGTGATTTAGAAAAGGGCATAAATTCAAAATTCACCTCGAGATTTCATATTCAAATCTCAAACACTACATTAATACTATTCATAAAATAATAAAAGAAGTGAGACGAATTAAACGTACGTACCTTTCAAAATCTTTTCATAGATATCAAATCTCTCTCCAACATATTTCATGAGGAAAGTTATGGTAGTTGCAACAGTACTATAGCCAGCAACTAAAATTCCCATTATTTTATCAGCAATTTCATTTTCACCCATAAACTCTCCATTATTATCCTTAACAACTATCATATGACACAATATGTCTTGCATTTTCACTCCTTTAGACATTTCATCTTTTTTCTCCTTTATAACATCTATAAGCTCCCTTCTAATTGCAATTGCTGCCTTATTAGCGCGATAAAAAGCCATCCCTGGTACGTTCAAAATCATCGCATGTAACCCTAACGTAATATCATCAAAATAATGTACGAGCTTCACCATCCTTTCCGAACTACTATTCGTACTCCCAAGAAAGAAACGACTAGCAAGTGACAATGTCAAAATTTTAGCAAAATGATAGGTTTGAATCTCACTTTTGCCTTCCCAATGGGATTGCAAAAGCTCTTTTGTTATACAATCCATTTCCCCTAAATAACGGGCTAGGGCTTCGGGCTTTAAAAACCCGGGCTGACGAATAACCCGAGTAGATTGAGAAAGAGAAGGAGGAGGAGGACAAGATGGATTTTTGGATTGGTAAGAACGAAAAATTCTTTGCATGGAGTGAGTACGAAACACAGTAAATAATTTCTCTTCATTCGAGAAAAGGAATTTGTGGCCATTAGGGCCACAAATTACAACTGTTTTCTCTCCCATTATTTTAGTTTTAAATATATCTTGAGAATACTTATTCATCCTATCACGAACGAATTTTTCAGGATTACTAAACAAGAACTCTATCGTTTCCCCTATTACGGGCCATCCGAAACTACCCGGGGGTAGTTTGGTATTTTTAGAAGAACGATTTTGGGAGAGAATAGTAGTGAGGATGAGAAAAAAGACAACTAAGAAAATGGTGGAGAGATCAATAGCATCCATTGATGGTGTGTTAGGCAGATAAGTTTAATGGATGTGTGCTAATTTATATAGAAGAGTGTTGATGAACTAATTGCTACGTAACTAATTCGAAAAAAGAATATAAACAAATAAAGAATTTAATTAAGTTATGTACGTTGATAACGTGATAATTTAAGCACATGTATAGGTAATTCTAACTTTTTGAGTAACTAGTTTTACTAATTATGAACAATTATCTACAGAATTAATTATTATTATAGCAATTTATCTTATAAATAATTTGTTTGTGTAAATATTTTTATGCTATTGATATTAGGCCAAGAAAAAATTCTATATATAGCCATTTTTTTACTAGTATTATTTTAATTATTCTTTGAATATTAATTATATTGATGTATACTTAATATTATATTTTTATATAATAGGAATAAAATGATGTGAAGATGAAGAAATTTCGAGTTAAAAAAGTTAAAACAGAAAGAAAATGAAAAGGAAAAAGAGGAGAGGATAAGTGGAGACATAATGATTGTCCAACATTATCACTAGAATTTTGGTAATGGCTCGCATCACATCAAGTCAATTTCGAATTTGATCTTTTTAAAATTATTTTAGATTTGGTTGTTTTATTTGAGACTTTTTCTTTTTTTTTAATAATTGTAAATAGTTTATAAACACGTTTCGGGAGAAGAGTTCGACCTAAAGAGAGAGTGAGAAGCCGTGTGGAGCAAGACAAAAGATTTCGGCAACGAGTTTTTCTTTTCTTCTTCCTTGTTTTCATTATTGGTTATGAGTTTTAGTATTGTGTTTTCACATACTTTTATGAGTATTTAAATTTTATATCTTTGAGTTTTAATGGGATCTTTGTAGGATGAATTATTATTGTTATGCTTTTTATATTGCTGAGTCGTTCTTTTATCTCTATTTGTTTAGTTATGCAGTGATTGTAGTTAAATGATTGACCTAACGATTAATGGTGTCGCTGTTATATCTTGTTATTCTCTAGAGATTATTAGATTTGGTTATAGTTTAATAGAGTCACTTCGAAGAATTAAGAGTAATTAATGACTGAGATTTAAAGAGGGTTATAGTGATAACAAAGCCTCAACGCAATTTAAGTCAATAGATTAATTGTTTAACTAGTTCATTCGTGAAAATACTGTTAAAAAATCACTACACTTAGTCAAGAAAAATTTGTTGTAAAAGAAGATTCTTGATTGATCGAGATTATAGGTAACCTATATAACAAAAAGGAAGTCATTGGACATAACTTGAATTTGTTACTGTCACAAATATTTTAAGCAATTTGATAATGTAATTTTAACCCATAATTAAATAAGTAAACTTGACTTAATGGAGAAACCGGTTTATTGCACGATTCGGTCGTGGATCAAGTGACGGAATATGTAGGACTTTGATTTTCAAAAGTCAATTTGACACTATTAAATTAATCAGGTAAGTTTTTGTATATTAACAATAATATATTTAATGTAGTTTCATACATATATAAGTGGTGTGAAAAAAAATAAAATGTATGTAAATCTTATACATATCTCGTTAAGACATAAAAAAGTTATTTTCGATAGATCTTTGATTCAAGGCAAACATAAACACAACACATATAATAACAGAAGCAGTAACAATAACAGAATAATAAGAAAATCCAAACATAAGAGATAATAGATAGCAATAAAAGAATGAAATTATTTTATATGAAATGGAGGGGAGACTTTCTTTCCTTTTCCTTGAGATCCAACTACTTTAATTACCTCTTACGACCAAATTGAGGAAAATTATCATTAAAACTCTAACAAAAAATAATTAAATCTTGTTTAAGTGGTGCACTACGTATTAGTGTTAGAATTAGGTTGATAAACAAATTCATCAATTATTATAATCATCTTGAGTCAACAAATACTTTTGGTGGAATTTTTCCCACTTTTAACCACACTCATTGGAAAATTCTTGACAGTGCAATCGTAGGTCCATCTTTTTCTTCTTGAATTTTCATTGAGGGTCTGGTATCCTATTAGAGTCCGATTAATTTAGATTCGTGTAGTGCATGATTCTTTTTTATGGATCGCATTTCCAACAAAAAAAAATTATATTCAAAATCCGAGATCTAATTAAGGATGAAGAAATTCCAACTATTTCCCCACAACATATATTTACACAATCAATTATAATGACGGCAAATGTAACTTGACCTTTTTTTTTCCTTTTAAAATACTTGTTGGGATATAACCTATTTAGGGGAGTTGTTTTTAGGCAACTATACGATTGTTAGTTACCAATGCACAAATTTGACTAGGTTGAAAGGCTTCGGCTTGGAGTTATTTAAGAATTTTAGTATTCCTTCTATCTCAAATTAGTTGTTGTAATTTTTGAAAATAGTTATTTTAAATTATTTATTAATTTAGAGAATTGAGATAAAATTATCTCATTTTATCCTTACTAATTGTTGTTCATAAAGAGAAGAAAAAAGTACGTACACAGATTTTATCCTACCATATGCAGGTAGAGATAAATTGTTTTGACAGGCTTTTGGCTCAAGATAAACATAAACACAACATACAGTAAAATTTTACTAAATTAATACAAGGTAAATGAATAATCTTTCTACGATAATATTTTCCTCTGGTCCGTGCTTGGCCCATCACTCTTCGATAAGATAATATATTTTCAGAAGACCCTATATAAATATATGGTTTCATTAATATTATAAATTAACAATTCCTTAAAAGTACAAAATATTTTAAAGGCAATTTAGTGAAATATGATTTTATTGTTTTTTGTTAAAATTTAAATCTTGTTAAAGCTCATCTCTAACATTTTTTGTTGCATTCAAAAGTTTCGGTCTTGCCATGACTGCACATCTTTTTGAGTGATGTGGAATGATCTATTTTGTAGTCATGTAATGTTTTACGCATTTGATTTGACATTGTTGATTTTGTGACACTTTTAAATGATAAGCTATTTTTGGACACGGTTTCAAGAAATTTCCTATGTTTCTTATATAGTTTATTCTCTCACCATCATACATTGAATATTTTTAATAAAGATACTATGAATAATATTTGATTATTAAGAAATAATGAACATTATGTATAATAGATTTATTTTTACAATAAATCACTGAATTCTTGAATTTATATTACAAATGAATCACTTAACAAAAAAATATATTACAACGAATTATACACATATATTGTACTTTATGTATAATGATTTTTTTTTTATATGAATTCAATAAATATGATACATAGTAACATACAATGATTTGATGTATTCATTGTACTTTATGTATAATAAATTTATTTTTTACATCAATTCAATAAATATGATACATATATTAGTAAAATACAATGATTTTGATGTAATCAAAGTAACCTTCATTGAGTCTCAAAACACTCTTTTAATTAATAAATATTAATTTATCGATTAAATTATACCTCTACAAAATAACAATATATATTTCATGGTCTCACATATATTAATTTAGTGAGGTTATATTGTATATGAAAATATAAAACAGTAACAACATCATAATAGTAAGAAAATCGAAGCATAAGAGATAACAAATAGTAATAAAAATTAAATTAGGAATGAAAAATATGAAACCAAATATAATTTAAGATATACCGATAATAATACTAATAATATTATTGGTAGCGACAAACAGAACACGAGAATATCTACTACTAGCAATATACAATAATCTTTGATAACATTATGATAACCATGTCTTTCATAAGATGAAACTTTTTACCTCTCCTCGCCACTAACATCAACCTCTCACATCTACTTATTATTATGTTTGTGCATATTTTTGAGTCATAATTGATTGATTGATTCCATGTTTAGTCATTTTATATTAGTTAAACAATTTATTGATCATATCGATATATGAAAGTACATTCAAGAAACATGAATTCTAGCTACACTAGGTTGACTATAATTTGAGAATTTGTTATCTGAATAAAGAAAAATCTCCAATATGTTGTAATAGGATACTCTGGAAGATGAGATCTTGTTATTAAAATTCATTACTATATTGAGAATTTTTTATTTTTTTTTGCATTTTAGTTTTTATGACATAAGTTGGTTAACTGATAATAGTGACTTGTGTTTAACTTGCAAGTGATTTTTGAAGAATTACTGGACTAGCTAGGTTCTTGTACTTGGTTAATTACAATGTGAAGCCTTTTGTCTTGTCATCGATCATGAGATGATTAAAGCATTGAATCCTAATTTCATGGTAGCATTCCACTGATGTTGTTAGTCTTGGTTTATGCCCAAGAGTATGGACTAGTGGTTAATGAGATTGCTTGAGAATTAAATGCCGCAAGAATAAATTATGGTGAAAGTAAAATATTAGGTGATTTCTTTATGTATGTCAAAGCCTTGATAGATAGGATTATTTGATATATGTGCTGGTTGGGGGTAATAATGATTATCTTATGAATTAATCGAGACGTACGCAAACTAGGATGAGGATAAAAACATTTAAATAACTAAATGCTATAAATTTAATAATTAAATAAGAACAGAAGAACATTTTTTTCTTTTTTAAAAAATATTTTTTTATTACCTTATTCCACCCGACCCAAGTACCCCAACCCCACACCTCACTAGCCACCTACCCCAAAAAAGTTTCTTTTATTTTTTTTTGGGTGGGGGGTGGGGTGGGATGGAGGGACGATTTAGGGTGTGGGGCTGGGGTAAGAAGAAATAATAATTTTGTTTTGAAAGTAATTTTCACTTTTAATTTCTTTGGGGGGAAGAGGTCTCGGCCTCTCGGGGTTGGGTTGGGAGGAGTCGCGTTAGAAGATGGTGTGGGATAGGGGTGTGCATCGGTCGGTTCAATTCGTTTATCGGTTTTCGATTTTTAAATACGCTAAACCAATAACGAACCAATAAGATAATTTTTTATCGGTTTATCGGTTTTGTTTCTTAACGGTTCGATTTTCGGTTTAACCAATAAGAATATGCTTATAAAATAAATATACAACTTCTCTAATAAA